AAAGACTTTGGAAAAATGAATATTTGAAATCCTAAATCCTTCAAATACCCCTCTAGTCACGATGCTCTCGCTAAAATGAGACATCTCTCAGCGAAAATCTCAGAAGAAACTGTACTATAGTTTCTGCAGAATCTTGCTACAGCGATACTGTATCCAAAAATGCACCCTCCTCTGTTACCCTCTCGCTGCAGCGAAAACGCAATAGATGTAGTCTTCTCGCTTAGAGCATTGTTGCTACAGCAAGAATGTCTCTGCATACTCAACAATTTCAATTCAACCACAAACCAACATATACACTTATACTCACAAACTTATCCATATATATTTCTACACACGTATTCACATCATCATAATATAAATCAAACATAACAACATATAGCAATCCACATATATTTATATTAATAAACCAATCAATATATATATATATATATATATACAATTACAAAATCTGGGGCATTACAGAAACTGCCTTAATATTCTCCATGAGAATTTTCCTTTTGTCTTCAAGCATGTTAATGAAAATCGTGATAATTTGCCATTTGGCTAAACAAAGAAAATTGTCGTATTCTCCTAGCATGAATAAAGCTTTGAATATTTTTAATTTGGTTCATATGGACATTTGGGGTCCCTTCTCTCAAGTTTCAGTCCATGGTCACAGGTATTTTTTTACCATTGTTAATGATTTTAGCTGTTAACTTGGGTTGTTTTATTAAAATCCAAAGGAGAAGTAAAGATGCAAGTTTAAAACTTTGTAACTCTCATTCAAAATCAATTTAATTAACCATTAAGGGTATTCAAACTGATAATGTCCTTGAATTTTTTCAAAGGGTATTTTACATCAAACAAGTGGTGTTTATTCCTCAATAAAATAGGAGAGTTGAAAGAAAACACCAACACATCCTTAATGTAGCAAGAGCCCTAATGCTTCAATCTCAAATTTCTGAACATTTTTGGTCTTATGCTATTAAACATGCAATTTACCTTATTAATCGTGTTCCATCACCCATAATACAAAATAAAACTCTTTTTGACTTATTGGTTACCTTTGTTATGCTTCCACACATTCGGCATGCCAAAAATTTGATGCTCGTTCTAGACGTGGAGCTTTTCTGGGTTTTCAAACAAGGACAAAAGGTTACGTAATTTTGGATTTAACTAACAATGAAATCTTTATTTCTCGTAATATTTTCTTTAATGAAATGATTTTTTCTTTTACTAATAATGTCACACTAGCCCAGTTAGATAACATCATACCTCCTTGTCCAGACCCAATTCATTACCATACACTTTCAGGGCTTGAACCCAATCCATCACCCATGTTTCTTTCTTTTGAGTCACCTAACATTTAGGACTTTGAGCCCATAGCAGAGAGACCCAATTCTCACTAGCCTCATTCTCCTCAGTCACCTAAACCCTCTTCCTCAAATTCATCTCTTCTTTCCACGTCTCTATTAGCATCATCGTTGACAATGCCCACTTTGCCCATCCATTCAACTAAACCGCAACTCACACGCCACTCAACTCATAATTGAACTCATCCTGGTTATCTCAACGATTACCAATGCAATACCTACTCGAATGATGAGGCTCTCCTGCTGCCAAATTCAAGTGCTACAGTCCCTTCTTCAACAATTCCCAACCAATCATCTTCAAAACGTAAGTATCATGCTCAATCTGCACTTGATTATTCATGAATCTCTTCTTCCTATTCTTATTACTTGTCTTGTTTATCATCTGAGCATGAACCTAAGTCCTATCAAAAAGCTATTTCTCATTCTTGCTGGCAAGAGGCTAGAAAGGCCTGATTTTGAATAAAACTGGGGATGTTGTGCCTACTCCTCCAAAAGTTTGTCCTATCAAATGTAGATGGGTCTACAAAATTAAACATGGCTATAATAAAACAATTAAGCACTACAAAGCCTGCCTTGTGGCTAAGGGTTACTCTCAGATAGAAGGAGTAGACTATCTTTAGACTTTCTCTCTAGTTGTGAAGATGACCACCATCCAAGTCGTTCTTGCTCTGGCCTCAATCCGTAATTAGCACTTGCATATTAGTAATGCTTTTCTTCACGGAGATCTATCTGAAGGAGTCTACATGGCAATTTTTCCAGGAGTCACAAGTTACTCTAATTCCTATTGTAGCAAACTCAAGAAGTCCCTCTATGGCTTGAAACCAGCAAGCCACAAATGGTTTGAAAATCTTTCAATATTATTACTGTCCCATAGGTATAGATAAGCTCAAGCAGATAGTAGTTCTTTTGTCAAAGCTACTGGTTCTGCATTCATTATTTAATTGTGTATGTTGACGATATTGTTTTGGCTAGGAATTTAGCTTCTGAAATAACTAACATTAAGCACATTCTTAGTTCAAATTATATCAAAGATCTAGGACTGTTAAAGTTTTTCTTAGGGATTGAAGTTGCTTATTCCTCCAAAAGAGTATCATTGTGTCAAAGAAAATATTGTCTTGATTTGATTAAAGACTTTGGCCTAGTAAATTCTAAGTTTGCTTCCACGCTAATGGATAGTTCTCTCCCACTACATCAGGGCTCTAGTGCGCCACTTGCTGACCCCCTCTCTTATCATCGTTTGGTTGGACGATTAATATATTTGACAAGCACTCGTCTCGACATAGTATTTGCCACTCAGCAACTTAGCCAATTAATGGCAACCCCAACTCAGTCACACTTCCAAGCTGCCATAAGAGTCATCAATACCTAAAGGGATGTCCTAGAAAAGGCTTATTTTTTGCTCAAAATTCTTCAACACATCTTACTAGTTTTAGTGATGTTGACTGGGCTACTTGTGTGGATACACATCACTCAATCACAGGATACTATTTCTTCATTGGTAGTTCTTTGATTTCTTGGAAAACAAAGAAACATACCATGGTCTCTCGATCATCTGCAGAAGTAGAATATCGAGCTTTTGCATTAGCCACATGTGAACTATAGTGGCTCTCCTTCTTACTCAGAGACCTTCACATTACATGTCCAAGGCAAACAATTCTTTTCTGTGATAGTCAAAACGCTTTGTATATCACTGCTAATCTCATTTTCCATGAACAGACAAAGCACTTGGAAATTGACTATCACATTGTTCGAGCAAAATTGTTAACTGATCTCAAGTGTTTGCTGCCCGTTTCATCCTCACATCAACTTGCAAACATCTTTACTAAAGCTCATCCTCTAGCACCATTTCATTCAAACCTTTCTAAGCTAGAGCTTCTTGACATTTTCCAACCTCCAGCTTGTAAGGGGCTAATAGAATAGAAGCCTAATTTCAATTGCTCTTGGCCCAACAATATATTCTTCTGCTATGCTTTTCTGTACATATTCAGAATGAGCTATACATTGCTATTAGGATCTAGAATAATCTAGAATTTGGTAGAATAAGATGAACTATATTTTTTTGTTATCCTTTTTGATTTCATTATTCCTTTGTTCTTATCTAGAGTGCTACATTCTGTATAAAGACATTTATTTGTTATTCATTAATATAATAAGAAAAAGATTTTTTTCCTCGATCATTCCTGTTTCTGTTTCAATCTTTTATCTTTTATAATTATAATTGTCATTATTGAAATCATAAAACAAGATAAAGATTTTCACATTCACAATTAATAAATGTACTTATATATCTAAATAAAATTTATAATGCTATAATTTTAGAAGGATGGAGAAAATATAAAGTTATTTCTTCACGAAAATAATATTAAGAAATAATAACATAACAAATAACTAAAATAAAAGTTATAAAAATATATTATTATAATCATTATTCATTTACTATAGCAAGAATAAACTAAATTATTCTTTAAGATTATTCCAAAACTATAGGAGAGCTAAAGAGCACCAAATTTGAACATTGCAAACATTAATAAGGCTTCATAAATATGTTTAAAGATAAAACTCTTCGATCTATATTTAGAGTTATAAAAATGTGTATTTTTAAAAATAAGAACATGTCAAAAATCAATTTCTCATGTTTGAGGATACATGAGGAACTGAATGAAAGTTTCCTTAGAACATTGTTTTTAACTCCAAAAATATATCCAAACTATTTACGTAGAAGAGAAAAATAAATGAGTTACAAATAATTTTTTCAAAATTTTAAAAGGATGAATTAAAATAAAATAATGGAAGCTCAAATAGAGGAGTGAGAGAAAGAGAAAAAGATGAATGCAAGAGAGATAAAGATGAGAGAAGGGAACAACAATGGAAAAAAAACTAGAAAAAACTCTCTTTTGTTTTCTATTTATTTTTCAAGTGATGTGATGTGTTCCATTACACCTTATCACTATATGCAATATTTCTTATAAAATTTTCATCAAGATAGTTATAAAAGTCATTTAAGAAGTCTTATTTATCCCAATTTTATGCTTAGTAGACATAATCTTGCCAATATAATAATCATTCAAAAAAAGTATTTCATAGTATGAAACAAAAGATAAGTATAAAAGATTCATGATAATAAAATTTAGTATAAAAAATGACTTATAATGAATACCTTCAAAGATATTGGGTTACATAAAAATATTTTTTATTTTATCTAATCCTATTTTTTCTTTCTTTTAAGGACATACAATTAAATCTTTTTTCTTTTCATAATATATTTCTTGCAGCTTATTTATATTTCTCAGATAGAACCTTAGAAACATGTTAACATTTTTAAAAGTAGTCTAAAACTTTCACATTAATTATTTGTTAGTAACTTGATTTTATTTGCAAACATTAAAATGGAGTAGGCAAAGATTGTGGCAGGAAAACTTGGGATGTTTTTACCTTTCTCCAATAAAAAAAATATAACACAACTTTTAGCATATTTTTTTTTAATACATTTTTAGTTTTTAATTAAATTTTATACTAAAAATTAGTATAATTTTTAATGAATTTTGACTTAAAAATATATTTCAATTATAAATATCTATTTGACTTATAATTTTTTATATTTGCGAGATAGTGCTAGTTTTCCATTTATTTTAAAACTTGCCCAATCAGAACAACTCAGGTTTCGTTCGGTACAAGACATCATCTTCGTAGGCTACCTTCTCTCGCTTGGCGGAACACACGAGGAACCAAGCACCCTCAGCGAGAGAGAGATCACTAACAACGAATACTTGAACGCCATGAAAGTTGTGCTTAATCCCGAACCATTTATCTCCCCACCGAACTCCATTTTCTGCAACCACCGTCGAGACTCCACTTGCTTTCAGCTTCGCCCACTCCCCAAACTCTGCCCCCAACGCTGGATTGGACGAAGCTTCTCTTTGACGCCCAAAGCAACGTTTGATTCAGCCACCATCGAGCAATTCGGAATTCCCGAGTTCGATGTACGGAATCCGGCCTTGTCTTCTTCGTATCGCAGTTCCGCATTGCCGAGGCCCAACCAGACGGTGTTGGAGGCCCAAGCTAGGGTTTGCACCGGACCAACCCAAACTCGTCCCCTCGATGAACACCAAGCCTTCAAGGTCTTCGATACAATTCTAAGATCAGGTTCATCTTTCTTTCATCTCACTTGAATATGTATGTCATTGGTGGATTAAGTACACTTTAAAGAATAAAGTATAATCATAACTAATGATTAGAAAATCAATTTTTAATAATTTGTTTTACGTACATTATATTTTATCACAATCTCAAGTGTTTGACAATTTTTTTTTTTTATAATGATTTTAAGCTATAACTACACTTTATTCTCTAAAGTATACCTCTCATTGTGTAGAAGTTAAATTTGTTATTGGTCAATTGTTTGTAGCTGTAGTGAAATTTGAACACTTCCTTGTTAAATTTGTTAGAACAATTTAAGGGTTTAAGAATGAAAGCCTTGAATCCTATGTTATAGATTATTTTGTTGAAATAATTGTTTTTTTTTTTAATGAATTTGAACTCTTCCTTGTTACTTTTTTTTAAAGAGTTTTTGAAAATAAGAAAAAACCATTTGTTTCTGATCACTTTGTATTTGATCTTAGCTAGGGGAGAACTGAGAGATGAAGAGAAAGTTTCTGAAGCGCAACTTGGGGCATTTTTTGCGGGGATGACAATCCGGGCGAATGCCTTTCCTGAGGCGACGCAATGGAGTGAAGGGGAAACACGTGCAATGAAGACATTCTGGCCGCTTCTGGTTAAAGCCCTTCCACCTGACGTGATATTTGTGGCGGACCCCGAAGGGTTGATGATGGGTGTGGGAAGTTCAATTGGGCCACAGTATGTTGGCAATGGCACCAGCGAGATGCGATTGGTTGGCGCTCTTAGGGAGGTGTTGGCTGGTGGTCATCTTGGATTTGAGGAAGTGCAAGGTGTGTTAAAGGATGTTCTTCCCTTCCAAGAGGGAGGTGAAAAGTCTCAGGGAGTAAGTGAGGCTTTGCTTGCTGCATTTTTAATAGGTCAACGCATGAACCGTGAAACTGACCGTGAATTAAAAGCATACTGTCTTGCATTTGATGATGAAGGTATGAGTTTTAATCTGATTATTCGATTTTGTTCTTTTTAAATTGTCTTCATTAGAATCCCTATTGTTAATATTTTTGTGAGCTGATTCTCAGGTCCCCCTCCTGTTGCTGATGTCAGATCATTGACTCATTATGGTGAACCTTACGATGGTAACACACGATTCTTCAGGAGTACATTATTTGTTGCTGCAGTTAGATCTTGCTATGGAGAATCTTGCTTGCTTCATGGTGTAGACTGGATGGCACCTAAGGTGTGTGGATATTTCTGAGTGTTGCTATCCTTTGACATTTTATCTGCTTTTATATTTCATGTAGAAAGAAATCTTCCATTTCTTTAGTTAACAATTGCTTATTTTTTAGGGGGGTGTAACTGAAGAGCAAATGTTGAAGTTTATGGGGGCAAATATATATTTATCCCCTTTCAAGGCCAAGAAACTTCTAGAGGTCTTTTTGTTTCCTGCAAATATTTTGTAGCAGATAATGGCTTTCTTACTCTCTTCTTTTAGCGACAATATATAATAATATCTTTGTGCTTTCTTCTTTCCAGGATGATGAAGTTGGTTTTGCTTATGTAAGTCAGCGTGAAGCTTGCCCATCTCTGTATGAGCATCTCACCAAACATTATTAGTTTAAGCCTTACTAACTTTGTTACATAGAGGGACTCCTATTGGCAAATGTTTTAATGATTTTCTTTCAGAATTTTAAAATTTTATAAAGAAGTCTTGTCTGGTTACTCATCTAGTTGTAGGCATCTGTAATATTATACTAAATTGTAGGTTCAATTACTCATTCAGTCCCTTTAGACAATTTTATTCTAAATTCTATTTAGCCTCTATTAGTTCAAAAACATTGAAAAAATTTCTATAGTTTTTGGAATAATGCCAGATGCTCAAGTTAGTTATGTTTGCTTCCTCTTGGAGTAAAACTATTAAGGACCAAATGGGGACAATATTACCTTGTCTGAAAATTACAGGGACTATCATGCATTCTTTGAAAATTATAGGGGCTTTATATAAAATGGCTTTGAATCATAGAGACTAACTTGAATTTGAGGAAATATTATACAATGAATAATCAAAATATTTAGATGAGAATAGAAAATGGAAAGAAGGAAAGAGGAAAGAAAGAAAATGGAGAAACTTAAAATAGAAAAGTATGGGTTAAGTGGTGAAGATAATTTGTTTGGATGACAAGAAAGGAACAAAGAAAGAAAATTAAAAGGAAGTTATTTTCCATTATTGCCCAAACTTAAATATTCTATTCCATTATTACCCCTAGTAAATGTGTTTATTATTATGGTATGTCGTCCCTTTTCTTTTTGAAATGTGAGCCAAGGGAAGATTTCTCTGTTTTCTAACATAGAGAAGAAAGCTTTTTACTAGGTCCCCCTCTTAGATTTTTTCTTCCCTTTTTTTTGCCTAACCAAGCAAGGAATTTTTTTTCTTTTCTTCATTTTCTGTCTATCCAAAACAATGGATAAATGAGAAATATAACATAAATTATATTGCTATTTTGGGAAGTGTTTAGTATGGTATGGATGTCTATGAGTGCAACAATACTGTTGGAATGGAGTATAGGTTAAACTATTTTTTTCCCTGCAGCTATTCGTTAATTAGGATAAGGGAGCACATAAAGAAACGCCCTCCGCTTGCAACGACTGAAAAGATTCAGCAATATGTAAAGGTGGGATTAAACTTAGTTTATCTTTTGTTAATTGTTATTGATCTCTCTTAGTTTATTACAAGTGTTTATTTAGATTTTAAGAATTTAAATATGATGGATGTTCAACCCATTTTAGAATGAATCAGTGGTGAGTAAGTGACATATCATTAATGAAATAAATAAAAGTATATTAGGGACTAACAATCAATATGACAATTTTTTTAAAATGAAACTAATAAAAGGTCAAAGAAAATCTCTAATTTTTTACCTCCCCCTTATGCTTATGCTGCCCGATTTCCAACAGAGGATTGCTGATCTGTCAACTTGTTGCATCATGCCTTTGCTTAGGCTGAATGTCATTTGATTTCCTTGCGAAGGAAAATACTATGTACACATACAGTAGTCTGAAGCTACAATAGCAGTTACAGATAGGTAATAAGATATTCTGCTGCAAAAAACTTAGTAACTTAATTTGTATGTAAGTACACGCATACACAACAACAATAGTCTCAGCCCACTATGAGTGATCCAAGTATGAGTTTTGACAAGTTTTACAGATAGAAAAGATAAATTCTGTTAGAGATGTTATCTCTTCAGTAATGTGTAACATGTTACTTTCCTCAATGATAATCCTTGGAAAATATTTGGTCTTGCATGTCTTCTCTTCAAGATAACAAATATTGCTTAATTCCCTGTTGGCACCACCCCACAAACATGAAGGAAAAATTGGTTAACTTAATTGAGGCCTTCTTATGTCTTTACTAGTTCAATCATCTTCAGAAAGTGTATGCCTAATTAGCTGAAGGGAGGGAGAGCTTAATAAGGAGAAAAATATAAATTTTGGTTTTTTCTTTGATTTTTTTATTAGTTTGATTATTTTAAAATTAGAAGTTAGAACATTTATTTTGGAGTTGTTAATATATTTTTTACTTATTTCATTCATGACATGACACTAATCCATTCACCGTTGATCAATTCTAGAAGGGGGTTGATGTTTCATTGTGTTTGCTGTCAATTTTTAAAACCACCATATTCATACAGAAGACTTGATTATTTCTCAACAAATTTTAAATTCATCACTTCTATTTTTAATTTTAGATGTTTCATAATTCATTATTTGTTAAAAATTGCACAAAAATGATTTTGCTGTCATGCTATAATAACATAGATTATTTAGTTGAACATTATATTGTATATTAACAGTAGAATCACTGATATCTTTCTCTTTCATTTTTGTTTGAAAGCAGTCACCAGTTTTTTACACAGTTAAAAGTGTATATTTTTTAACAGGCAAGTGGTAAGGAAGCTATTGTTGCTGGATTTTATCATGAAGGCTATGAAGAGCCATTGTTAATGCTCATGAAAAGAAGGGGTGTACATTCAGGTTTAGTAGTGAAGGTTAGAATTTCACTTTTTAGACATCGCAATCTATAATTTTTCTGATCATTTTTTTTTCATACACTATTGATTGTGCTATAAACTTTTTGTTCTCTTATTAAAATATGTTAAATAATCCTTAGATAATTTATTAATATTGAAATTTGAAAGTTGCTCCACACCTTAGCAAAGGAAGTCACTTCATGTAACCTTTGATTATGCTCATATCATAGGGAGAGGAAGGGGCCCTCTCAATGACTACAAGATTGCGATCAGTTAACACAACTAGGGGACTTCCTGTGAACTATTGTTCTGGGTTCCGTTCTCTTGACATTTCATCCACATCTGAACTTGTTGGTATGTATTTGACATCATTGTACTTCTATCTATTATTTACTTCAATAACTACTCCCTCTGGTTCCATTCCTAAGAAACAACTACGACTATTGTTTTGGTCCAAAATATAAGAAACAAAGATTTATTTTCAGATGAATTAATGTTTCTATACCCTTATTTATTGTGAGATTTGTATTGACAAGACACTTCCCCAATACCCATATAAGTTGGTAGATTCATTCATTTAATGTGAGTTATCAATTTGACCATTTATTACCATGAGTATTTTTTTAAATACATTATAAATTTATGATATATAATTACTTTTTATTGGTCTTGATGAATTAGTTATTTGTTTCTTAAAAAGGATTGGAGGAAGTATTTCATTAGAATGTCTTAGTCTATAATTTTTGTTGTTTACTTTTGTTTTCCTTTCCAATGCTCATTGACAACACTTTCAACCACAACAGTTTCTTATTAGGAAATAGATAATTATGCACTACACATCAAATATTGTTATTTTGTACTGCAGGAGTGACACGTCAAGGTTTTAGTCTTGAGGTCAATGCCAAGGATTATGGTTTCCAACCCACAGACACACCAAGAACTGATAGATCTGTAAAGTTCTCTAGATTATTTGTGTTTTCTTTGCTTGGTCTATCCAATATCTGGAACTTATTAGAAATAAATTAGCAATTCACTGTCTATAATAACTTGTTAAAAACTTTCTTTTGCAGTTGTAGGGTAGCTTTTTCATTAAACAATGTGTTAGGTGAATTAGATAGCTCCCCATTAAAAACACAAAATCCATATTCACGAGTATCATGATATGATAAGAATGGATAAGATAAAAAAGTAAGAGTAGGATAGAATGAGTCTAATAAGCTTTGATCCTATCCAGTATTTGGTGCATATCTCAGATAACTCTCTAAATAGTATTATGATATCCTATTTTGTGTTGTTTTTGTGATCAAGATAATGATGGGATATGATATAAATTATATTAAAATGACAAAATTATCCTTATATGAAAACTTCATTTATTTTAAAAATATATAACTTTTAATATATATATTTTAAACTTTTTTAATATATAATAATTCATTTTCAAGTTATAAAATTCGTGTAGGGTACTTGGTGGTTGTGGCAGTGAAGGGTGCCAAGCAGCAATTGTGGAAGTTGTTGAGTGGTGGTGGAGGATGTTGGGTCACTGGTCACAGTGGCGGCATTAAAAGGTGTTAGTGAGTGTGGTAGTGGTATTTGCGGAAGGTGCATGTGACGGTGAAGGGCATTGAATGGCAATGATGGATGGTGTCAGTTGATAGGGGCAGTGGAAGGTGTCAAATGCTGGCAGAAGTGTCGGATAGTCATAGGAGTGGTGGTGGTGGTGGATGATGTCAGGCTGTGATGACAGTGGAGATAACTAGCAGTGGCAGGGTATGAGACAGTGTCAATGGCGGTAGTGGCATATTGGGTGGTGGTGGCAATGTTGGCGTTAAAAGTTGCCTATTGACAGTGGAGAGAGCAGGGATGAGGGGAAAAACTGTGATCCTATCTTGTTTCTAACCCAACATTCCCCCTCCCTCTTAGGATAAAATTTACACTACACTTATAGGATAGCATAGCCAACAAGATAAGCTTATCCTATCTCATCGACTCACCAAACTATATATTAAAGCAGGATATGATAGCGTATCATATCATGATGCTCTTATCTTGTTTACCAAATGAGTCCTAAGTTTTTTATTCTCATAGGAGAAGAAGCTCCCACAAATATTGATTATATTGAATAGCGTTATGAAAATATCCTTACATGGGTTTTGTTGAGGGCCTTTTGTAGTGAGCTCTACTCAACTTTCAAGCACTATGTTTGAACAATATATTACATAAACTATCCTTACACCTTATTTGTGTACGATGTTTTATCCCTAAACAAATTGATTACCCCTAGTTGTTTTAAACTATATACTTTGATCTTTATTGAAATCTCACATTGATTATATATATGATCAAATAATAGCTTATAAAAGTTAACAATTATCATCTTACAAGCTAGCTTTTGGGATTAAGTTAGTCTTAAGCCCAAATTTAACATATCAGAACTTGTTGTAGATCCAATATTGGGCTACTTTTAACTGAAAAGAAAAAAAAAAAAAAAAAAACCAAAACCTAGCCCTGCAAGTTTTTTCAATGCAGCTTACCTGGTCTGGTGGCTTTCTCCAATGCAATATTAGAAAAAATAATACCAAGCTTATAATTTTCATGCTCTAAATGTTCAATTTTGAGTGTAAGAGAGTGTGTTGACGTCTTACATCGACAGTAGATATGTCCAAATAAGAACTTATAAAAGTTAAAACAATCCTCACCTTACAAGCTAGCTTGTGAGATTGAGTTAGGATTAAGCTCAAGTTCAACAATTTCTTTGCTTTTGGATTCTTTGACTGAAAGCTCATTATTGATGATGTTTTGGAATGCTTACATATCAATGTCATTGAATTATTATGTAATGTAGTATCATCACAGGTAGGAAGCTTGTAACATGTAGACTGAATGCTGAAGGTTTTTAACTGGCATTTTTTTTGTTCTTTTGAAATCTCAGGTCTCAAAGAACATTGAATTGGGTTTAGCAGCTCTCCGGGGTGAAAAAGGACCAGCATATGATCGAATTGTGTTGAATGCTGGAATGGTGGATCACTTGCTTGGCGTTGATGGTGCTGAAGACATATCTGCAGCCCTGGATAGAGCCAGAGAGGCCATTGACAGTGGTAATGCTCTGAAACGACTCCTAAACTATATCAAGGTGTCCCACAAAGTAGGCTGAATTAGTCTGAAGCGGTTGAGCATAGCAAAATACCTTTGGTGTACAATGTGCTGGACACGTAAGGTATTAAAGGGGAAGGAAAAACATAATCTGGGTTCCCCCTTCTTGATCCCAAATAATAGAAGAAATGAAAATAGGAGAGGCTCGAGAGTTTATTCTTTTTACTCAGCAGTTTTGAGGTTTTGATTATGTTTGTATAACAGTTCAACACGCTTGGAAACCACAGATAACTGTATTTTGTAAGGTGGCATACTAATAGTCAATGCTAGATTTATTTTTTGGCATTTTTTTTTATTGAAAGTAAAACATTTGTAAATTTCTCCAAATTGCTAGTTAGAGAAGGTTGTATTTGGATAGAGTAATTTAAAATTTTACATTGTATGTATTTGGATAATAAAGAAAACTATTTTTAAAGTATTATAGAATTTTAATTAGATAATTTTTATGTCGAAGAAAGAATTTTAAATGAAATTTAAAACTTATTTTTCTATGCTTAAAACTTCTTTTTGTATTTATCATTTTTAATTCCTCTCATACTCAACTCATTTGAAACATTACTTTATTATGGATTTCAGATTTTTTAAAATTTTAAATTTCTCTATCTATATAAAATTCAAACCTTTCAAGGTTTATAATAATAATAATAATAATAATAACTCGTGTGAAGGTATTCATAACTTCGCATGTGTTTTGCACAACAGTTTGTAACCTTAGTTAAGCCTAGAATGAGTTAATGAATGTGCTTTCCTGTGATGTCAAGTGCTACTTGGCTGCTGATGTGATCAATAGCTGGATGAGTGGGATAATTTATTTATGATTGAATCTTTAATTTAATTTCTTGGACAGTAAGTGTAAGGTATTTTATTCTTTAAAATTTTCATATTAGTTTTTTTATTTTTATATCTTACAATCACTTTAAATTTTTAACTCACTCATTGTTAACACATAATAATAGAATTATCACATAATAATAGAATGGCAACAATTGATTCGTACCATTGATTGAATAGAAGATGTGTTGTGATATATATTTTTATTTTATTTTAGTTTTGAAGATTGTCAACGTCAAGTATTTTAATATATGAGATTTTAAAAATTTTCATATAGCCATCCTTTTTTACTTTTTCCATTTCTCCGTTGAGATGACTAAGAATGACGTCGTTGGTCGTAGAACATAGTATCTTTGTGGTGAGACAATCCTTCCTGTGTAGTGTATTTGAGAAACTCTTGCCAAGAGCCTGAACTTGTCCTCGTCGATTCATAGACGCTAAAATAGTCTTTAAGAATCGTCCAACAGGAGAACTGTGATTGGTGAGGGTGATGATGACGAAGGCGAAGGAGGTGGAAAGAAAGTGTTCAATTTCATTGTCTTCATGATTTGCACAAAACGGCGTTATCTATGCCTTCCTCTTCTTTGTCCTCCAGCATTTTGTTGTCATCGTCGAGACCTTCAGGGAAAATGACTTAATTTTGGTGGGATGTTATGGGATTTGGTTAGGCGAATGACGGAGTACTCCTCTCACAGGGTTTATTTTGTTAGAGTCACTTCACTTAATGGGAAGAATGAGAATGAGAATTTGTGAGGTGGCTTAGGTAAGGGACCAAATAAGTTGGCCAGAAAGGGTGGTGGTTTATGGCCATCTGAACTTTCAATGATGGTGGTTTCCAATAGATGGTAGTTTTCGGTGATGGTGATTTTGGGTGATGATTGTGTTAAGAAAGAATGAAGGATAAATAAAATATTTTAAAATTCCAAAGATTAAAACAATAAAAAAATACAAAACACACTATTTACGACATTATTTTTGTCATACTGTATATATCAGATTGTTCTATTATTGTGTATTGTGTGTGACTGAAGCACTAAAATTGCTGATAAAGACAAAAGTCATGAACTAAGGTGAATTTTTTTTAAATCTTATAGATTAAAATGCTTGATGCTAACAATTTGAGAATTGAGAGTTTAGTTATGTATTTACATAAAGCTAAGTCCCCTAAACTACCTTCTCTTTTGAATTGGGAAAATTGTATTATTGAATTTTTGGAGTAATTAAATTAACATTTATAAATTGACTTTTAATACTTTGATTATTGAGATAAAATGTAATTCAATTTTTAATTGAAAGACATTTTTGTAAATACCTAATGAAGTTATGCTTACATTTTGTTCTTCACTTAATCCTTCTATATCAGTTTTTTAACTTATGTAGATATAGATGATGTAGCAAGTAAAAATATTTTACATCAGTTAACAATCGATGTAGATTCATTTTCTAAACAATCGATGTAAAATATATACATTTTTCTTTAGTTCCATTAACAATCAATGTAGAAAATTTTAAATTTATATATCAGTTATGACACAACCGATGTAGAAAGTATTTACATTATATCCTAAAACTTAAAAGACAGATATAATTTAGACACAGTTCCAGAATATACACATTTCAATTATAACCAAATAATATTTTGTACAAATAAATAATTTTATATAATGTAAAAAGAATGGTTTACAATATTTATAAAGACTTCAAGAAATCCTAATATCTAAAATAAAATTTATCCAACGTCTTCAAATGTTATTAAACTCCCTTTTAGGTATTGGATCAATATCTTTCAATATCTACAAGTTCCAATTATAAAAAAAAATTAACTTTAAATACTATAATAATATAAGTAACATGTGTGTGTGTTTATAATAATAAATATACTTATCAAAGCCCACAAATCAATAATAGTTATTGTGATGATAGTCAACAATGTCTTATTACATAATATCTATACTCATAATTTCACTTTTGTTTGTGTGACTAGAAGAAAAATAACAATACTTGAATATTAGACCTAATAAGTAACTTAAAAAGGAATTGAACAAAAAATTGTCCAAAACTACACATACGCAAATTCATCTAGACTTTTTTCTTGTGACATGCATACCTTCTCACACATTGCATGCTTCCATACATTTATATATGATGAAGTTACCATAAGAGTTAGGTGACTAATTGATATATATGATATGTAAATCAATTTATATCAAGTATTAATATACTTACACATTAATAATGACTTTTATTTCTTTCTTGGACTTATTTCACAATGAACAGAGGAAGACAACTTTGTTAGATTTGGGACAAAGTGTTCAAAATTGTAAATGACTCCTACAAAAATGGCCATTAGGAAAAGTAAAACTAATTATTTGAAAAGGCTAATTAAGAAAAACTTACCCATAATGATATGGTTCATGTGATACCCTTAATTTATTATTCCATTTGTATAATAATTTATAACAAAGAAGGAAAATAAAGTGAATTATTTTATACTTATAGCGTGAAAATTTACGAAAAAAATTAAACTTTCACTTTTATTATTCAATTTGTGAAATTACAAAAGTATTCAAAACAAGATGAGATAAATATTTACGATTACATTATAACTTGCAAAATAAATTTACACTTGAATAGTAAGAAAATATACATGTGATAACTTTCATTCAAATACAAAAGTTTAATATTTACAAATCATAACCCCAAAATACATTAGGACTTTATTTACATAATTACAAAATCAAAATAATCTAAATTCTAATGAACAGTCTATCTCCACACCAATAACCTGGAAGATATGATCCTAGTCGTTATTCGCAAACCAACCCTCTATCTTTTCTAACTCTCCCAGTGTCAGGTTCTCATCATAAAAATCTCCACCATTTGCAATAACCTCTGTACTAATTAATTTCTCTCTAGTAAAATTGGTTGGTCTTTGATCAATTGGATTTTTATAATATTATTTTATCTAATTTCTAGCTCATTAATCCTCTTTTGTGCCTAATTGGTTGAATTAGATCATTTTATGATGTTTGGATTCTATTTGGGCTTTATTTAATTTTTCTAGTATTTGACAAATTCTGATACTGTTTTGGTTTCTGAACTATATCTTGAGTTGTAGAACTCCTTTCATTTTGATTCTTAATATGTAGGAAAGCTAAGAGAAAGGTTCACAATTGCTATGAAGAGGTCAGAAACCAATTCTGATGATAAGAAGCTGAAACTGGGCCTGGAAAAAGTCGAAACGCTGCAGTCGTGGATCCTGAGCAAGGTGCAGTATTTGAGCCATATCTCAGTCCACAGATGTCCGATTAAGCCCATTCCAGTGGCGTTTTGAAGCTAACATCCAAGGCTACAATTGTCCTTCAGGTCATGAACCAAAAAGAGGCCGTTTTCATAGCCGAAAAAAGGGAACAAAGTGACGAACGGAATTTTGAATTTTAAGTTTTTTTTTTTTGGCTCCTCACTTTTCTTCTTCCTCTCTCTTCTCCCTGTTTTCGTTTTTTTTCCCCTTTCATGAATTGTTTCCCTCCATCCATGGAGGCTTAGATTCTCATCTAATTCAAGGATTAAAAGAGACGTGACACTCTTAAGGATTGATTGATTGCACATTGGCATAAATTCAATAACAATTTTGGGTTTCATCTATTCCTTATTCTCTCCCTTTTGCTAATTATATTTTTGAATTGAAGTTATTCGTTTGGATTGATGATTATGCATGTGATTGATTACGTATTATTCGATTGATGTATGTAATTGAGTTTTAAGGAACATGAATTGGATTTTCAGGTTTGAAAACTACGATTAACGGCATTAGTAAATTAAATTGGTACAATTCAATTAGGTTCTAGAGTTTTCTAAATTTTAATTAATTATGTGCTAATCGAATGCATGAAGGTCTTCATGTGAATGCTGAGTTCGAATTTAGGTTTCATTCAGATTCATTGTTAGTTACCGAATTGTTTGTTGATGTACTCTCTTAAAAATCCAGTGATAGAGTAGTCATTTTTCTTCTTAATTCTTGGATTGGAATTTCAATTTCTGTTCACTCTTTATTCTAATTATAATTAAGTGCGTTTTTGTTTCCTTTATAAACAAACTCCACCCGTCTTATACACTCTCCAAATAGATTAATTTGCCATTGTGATTCTTTGAGAAACGACCCTAGTTGCTTACCCCGTACTATAGTAATTAGGTTTTTTTTGACCCGTGTACAACCTCGTGTCAGTCTTCTAAAAAGGTCGTGATCATAGAAGGTATACACAAAATTTACAACACCTGATGTCTGAACTATCTCTCTACATATGTATAGGCTAAGGGTGTGATGGATCCTATTGTAAATAGGGTAATCAAAAGGACTGTTATATCCTATAGTTATCTCTAAGGTGAAAACAACATCATACACATCCACACTAGCTACTACAAATTTATAGTGGCAAACTCGTTGTCATTCCTTAAATACATAGTTTAGTATACTTTCTACAAGCTACTCAATTAATCTAATGAGTTTCTGAGCAGTAGTC